TTGTATGTTAACTCTTTTAATATTGCTTTGTTCCACTATCACTTGAAACATCATTCATAGACTTTGTTCTCCTACTGCCTGTACAACATTACAATATATTTCCAAGTCTACCACTACAGAAGGCAATTAAAGGCTGCTTGCAATTGAAAAAGTAAGTCTAGGAAATTGTTTTCCTACTCACTAGTTTCCTGTGTGCATTTAAAGCCCAAACTGCTTACTTTACTGCAATTCATTTTCCTTGGTGTGAAATAAAACCAAAGCATTTATCTTTTTTATAATCCCAAGACTAGTAGCAGAATGTATATAAAATTAAAAAAGCACATTACCATTGCAAATGGCTTGTTACAGCAGATAGGAGAATTTTTAACAGGACTTTAGACCAATGCATCTCATTAGGTATTATGTTATATAATTAAAAAATCTTAATATGAAATGTTGGTTGGGTGAAATCAAGTCCATCAAGTTGAGTAATGTTTTGGACATTCTTGAGAATGCAGTGATACAACAGAGGCAGCTCCATAACTATTTTTAAGGCCATCCCTCCTTACAGTTAGCACATTTATGCCTGTAGTAAGAAACACATGTAGGAATGGTTTGGAATGGTTCACAAAGACACTTCAGATTCTGCTAATTCGGATTAATCGTACTATTTTGCTGGAACCCCATTGTCTGACATGCTACCTTTGAGTCAAGTTTATTTCAACTGCATTATCTTTCCATTACAGGGAACATTCTGGATTATCTGGCACATATGTATACAGGGACCTCGGCACATTTTAAGTGCCTAAAGGCTCTTGTAAAGAAATATATAGTTGCCACGCCAGTACTTCTGATTTGGAAATATGGAAATGTTAAAATTATTGACTTTGACTTGGTGCTGATGCAAGATACTGTCAAGATTGAAAAAGTGGACTTCTAGTGGATAGAGAGTGCACCCAACAGGAAAAAGTTAATTCCAATTTTGCTAGAGATAGCAGGGCAAAACCACATTTCCTCTCCCACCCTAAGAGGAGGAAACCCCACTCAGTTATAGAACATGACTCTAGCAGCAGGGCTTTAAAAAGTCAGTTTCACTTAGGGGTGTACTCACTTTTGTTGCCAGCGATTTAGACATTAATGTCTGTGTGTTGTTATTTTGAGGAGACAGCAAATTTACACTGTTATACAAGCTGTATACTCACTACTTTACATTATAGCAAAGTGTCATTTCTTCAGGGTTGTCACATGAAAAGATCTAATAAGGAGCGCTTATTAGAGGAGCGCTTTCTTTCAGCTTTGGCTGATCCATCAGCGGCATCCCTACCTGGAGAACAACTGCCTGGCGAAAATGACACACGCGTTGGTAACTTCCCAACTAGACTTCTGCAACGCGCTCTACATGGGGCTGCCCTTGAAGACAGTCCGGATACTTCAATTGGTACAAAATAGAGCTGCCAGGCTGCTGACGCGGACTGGGCGTTATGTTCACATGACTACAGTCCTCTGTCAGCTTCACTGGCTCCCCATTGAAGTCCGGGCCCAATTCAAGGTGTTGGTTATTACCTATAAAGCCCTTAATGGCTAGGGTCCTGGTTACCTACGTCCATATGTGCCCTTCTGCCCCTTGAGATCAGCGGGGTAGGCCCTTCTCCAGGAACCCTCCGTGAAGGATATTAGGAGGGTAAGTACCCAGAGGAGGGCTTTCCCTGCAGTGGCGCCCAATCTATGGAATGTGCTCCCCAGAGAGGTCTGCCTGGCGCCATCATTATTTGTTTTTCAGCGCCAGGCCAAGACCTTTTTATTTAAACGTCATTTTAATTGTTAACATTATTTATTGATTTTATATCTTTGGCCAGGACATCTCCAATTATATTGTTTTTATATGGTTAATATGTATTTATTTATTGTGAGCTGCCCCGAGGCTTTGGCGAATGGTGCGGCATAGAAGCTTGCTAAATAAATAAATAATAAAATATTTACAAAATGTGAGGGGTGTACTCACTTCTGTGATATACTGTAGGTTTTAAATAATCAACAGAACAATCCTATGGGCACGAGACAGCATCTAGATGGCCACAGGATTTTTCAGATGTCTAACCTCATAGTTGGGAATCCACCCTAGGGTCCCACCCCCCACTCACAGCCAGCACAGAAAGAACTGCACCAGTCGTTTGAGTAGCAACCTTGGAGAAGGGGTTTTGGAGCAGAGTGGGAAAGAGACAAGCATCACGAAGATACGATGCAGCCTCCTACCCTCCTACTCCAACACGCTGCACTTGGGTGGCTGAGCAATAGTGGTGTTCCATGTTCTTCACAGCTCTCAAAGGATGTCCATAGTCTTCTATAGTTGGGAGGCAGATTACAGTGCAGCCCCGTTGCATAGTGCCCTAGTTAAATGCTACAGTTAAGAACCAGATGGGATGAACAAAGCATTCGAATGATGTCCTCTGATTTCTAAGATTTGCAGATCCTCACACTGATCTGCTCCTTGATCAATGAAGAAAAGGACCAAGGATGAAGAAAACTTGTGAAAATACTGTAAAGTTTGTTTGTTTATTTATTTTTCGATTTATATCCTGCCTTTTTCCTCAAAGGGTTCAAGGCAGCTTACATCATTCTCTTCCTCCATCTTATCCCCACAACAACAACCATGTGAGGTAGGTTGGGCTGAGACTGGCCCAGTCACCCACTTGGTTCCATGGCTGAGCGGGGACTAGAACCCAGATCACCTGAGTCCCAGTCCCATGCTCTTAACCACTACATCACACTGGTTTACATTGCTTTAGATCATTTTCTTAAACCTATCTAAATAAAAACATTCTATGCCTGAAAGCTATTTTACATCTCTTATATGTCTCTTCTTTTACTTAAGTTGAACTGCTAGATAAACTCAGATCTAAATGCTTTAAGATGCTATGTTTATTTTCAGATTTCATATTGCGTGAGGTCTTGTAATGAGCTCTGCTTTGCTCCAACTGTCCAGATTCTCAAGAATCAAGGACAAGTTAGGCTATAAGGTGAAACTAAATAGCTCTACAGAAGATAAACTAGGTTATAAAATTCTGTTTTGATCTAGGAAGCTCAGCTATTAAACCTGTGTTCACTTCATTTAACATTGCTTAAGATACTTCACAGAAAGTGAAACAAGAACAAAAGGTAAGCCAAGAGATTTCAACATGAGAGGAAGTGGAACTCTATAAACAAGTTGGTATCATTCAAGGCATGATACACAGTTGCAGGCAGAGAAAACCATTTCTTTTAACAAGAACTCTGATTTGGCAGTATTTTCATATGACCAATCAGCATTGCAAAATGTGCCAGTACTTTTCATTAGGTTCTGTCAGAGTGAGCAACTTGTGGCCCTCTGGATGTTCCAACTCCAACCTACAACTCCCAAGATCCTCACTACTGGCACTGTTGGGTAGGTCTAATAAAAGTCGTGGCCCTAAAGTCTTTCACCCATCCCTGGGCATAATCTTTCTTTTTTTATGCAAGGAATGGGGGAAGACCAGAAAATGCCCAAACCTTGGCCAAACGTTATGGCCATGAGGTTTGCAGTTTATAAAAATCGAGTTTAAAATGGAAATTTGCAGTCTAAATGAGTTAGGCAGTGATTGGTTCTCACAGACAGCAGATTATACCTAGAAATGCATTTGGGGGTATAGAAGTAATTGCTGGTCTCTATCTGAAAATCTAAAGGTCAACTGTAACCAGACTTCTGCAGTGAGCAAAACACCCAGATTCCTGAACTCATGACTATATCTGACCAAATTTTTAAATCTTTGTATCTTTCCCATCATCTGTTTTTTGTACCATCTAGCATGATGAGTTCTGGAGAACTCAAAAGCTTGCATAGTTTTGTGGAATTTCTACTGGTCTTTGAAAAGGTACTATTATTGGTCTTGGATTTTTTTCTCACACAGCCTGATATTTAGATGTGTCTTTTAGTGTTTTCGGTGAGTTTTTTGCTTGTTAATGCAGCACAGACCTTACTGGCTACTTTTTCTTCATTAAAACTTTCCTTCATATTTCTAAACACAAGCATAGGAAACATCTGAGTTTGGGAAACATTCAAGTTTTCTTAACATTAAGAAAATAGAATTGGAATAGTATTAAACCAACCAAAAATATATTACCAAAATATATGAAGAATTATGACATGTTTTAACTAGAGCGCAAATATCTGGACATGTATTGACTGCTAATAGCTTTCCCCCATGCAAAATTGGTTCTGTTGTATCTGGATACCAAATATTCCTAAAATGTAAGCTTTTATTGATGTGCTCAATCAAACTTAAAGTCCCTATCAGTTGACAGCTTATCTCCCCCGTGTCTTTCAGATTTAATACATGAATGAGTATGCCAAGTCCACTGCTTACATTCTCAATCTTTTTCTAGCAGTTCAACCTTTGAGTACTGAGCATTAGAATCTGTTTTCACTGCCAGTGCTAAGCCTGTACAGTAATAAAAGAAGTGTTTCCCAACAGGTGCATACACAATTCCTTAAATTCATGCTAGGACATTAGAAGCAGGTTTTCACAATCGATATTACAATCTCCCATATATATTAACTATCACACTAGTCTGCATTCCAAGTCTATCACAATAAAATGTGATAAACCTCAATTTTAAAGAGTCTTCAAAATTCAGCAGAGAGTAGTGGGTTTCTAGAAGTGCACCTTTACCAAAAACCATAGTGAAAACACAGTATTCAATCATAAATGCCTTGTCCATTAATATTCAGTTCCAGAATAATGTAGATAGGTATTCTGCACTATTTTATAAACTATCCAAATAATGCTAAGCCATACAAGTATGCTATTGATAATATAGAGTAGCAGACACTGGGAGAATATCAAATAGGACATCATATTAGAACTAATTTGATAAACACTGAACAGCTGCAATCATTATGAGATTTCTCAGAGTTCATACCCATCACTGGCAAGATGGTTCATTAAAATGACCAATTTCCAACAACCTAATTTGCAGCACTTATAAAATTATAACACAGATATTGCTTCATTGTCAGAATTAGTTTATTTGAGTTTCCCCACATATGATTCAGTGCCTTGGAGATAGTTTCCCAGATGAGGGTTGAGGCAACCTCAATTTTGAGAGCAAAACATCATAATCCACGAAGGTGTATGGTGTATACTCATGATGCTGCAAGTTCTTGTAGGTAGCAATGTCAAATGTTTCTTGAGCAGTTTCAGTTGATGGCTTGGCCTCTATGAGAGAGAAAAATATGTTCATGAACCCAAAGATAAAAGAACCCAGAGATAAAAGAAGCTATTATTGCTCGCTGACTCAGATTTTTTATGTGTGGAGCTTTATTACTCAGTTTGCCACTTGTGATGTTTGCTAAAAGCAGAACAAGAAATTAAAAGTTCACAGCAATATGAAAGAAGTGAACATGTATTTGAACATGTAGAACTGCATTCACTTTAATAAAAAGTCCACTCCAAAATGTAACTGATTGCAAGTTGATTTGTTTCTTTGAATACTGTCAGGAACACTTATGCCAGGATTGAAAAAGAAGCATGTGCACATGAACTACCCATATGTAACTAAGCCTGCAAGTGGAGCTTTGCTGTTTGTTTGTCACAGTAGTTTCCCTGCCAAAAGTATGATGCTTTTTAAAACTCCATGGCCTGGTTCACTCATAACACTTAACCTACAGTTCATTATTTACATGGTTTCCCGTCCTACACAGGGTTTGTCTAACAGTTAAATGAATAGCCTGTGGTTTATTTTCTTATGTCGCTGTTTCATTTCTCCTTTACCTGCTCCCTTCCTTTATCCCAGCCGCCTTTGTAGCACTGCAGTACTGCCATGTGAAGCAACTTCTATACTATGGAGTCTATAGCATGGTAAAATAACCCATGAAGAAGCTCATAATTCTGGGTTCCCATGTAATGATAACCCATAGTTAAAAAACAAACAAAACCGAGTTTACAATATGGGTTCTCTTTGTAGGTAACAATCCCTGGAATTGCCTAATCAGGCTATGGGTGCACATCTCTTAGTTACATCCCAGCTAGACTACCATAATATGTTCTACATGAGCCTGCCTTTGAAAACTGGCGAGAAACATCAGCTGGACCAGAACTTTGCAGGAAAACTGTTGACTGGAACTAGTTACAGGAGCTTCATTGACTGCAGGCTGTTTCTCAGTAGGATTCAAAGTGCTGGTTATAACTTATAAAGTCCAGTGTGTCTTGGGACCAGGCTACACCAAATCCAGCCTCTCCCATGAGCACACACAGTTCTTTACTGCTTCCTGGAGAAGCCCTGCTTTCAAGGCCACTTTATTCATAGATATGTTTGGTGATCTGAAAGAGGGTCTTCTTGGTAGCTGACTCCAGGCTGCGGAGCTCTTTACAAACCAATGCTAGGTCTGCTCCCTCCCTCCTATCAACAAGCAAAGTCCACTTTATTCAAGAAGACTTTTTGGCCTGTACGTGGGATCTGCTGGGTTGGATGTTATTTTTATTTTTAATTTGTAACTTATATTTTGCTGTATTTTTAAAATATGTTTTTGTATTAATCTATTTGAATTAGGCCCTGGGTACCATTCTTTTGCTAGAAGGGGGGGGGTAGAAGTCACATAAATACAATCAAACAAATGAATAGTTAACTCAGTTCTGGCTTCTCATATAACAACAACCCTCAATTCAACAAACTGCAGCTAACCCATGGTTTGTTATTATGGCTTTTTTGTAAACCACCTCGATGGCTTTTTTTGTCTGGAAGCTGGAAGGGCTATAGTTCAAAAGAAATAAAGAAATAGAGAGAGACAGACAGGATAGCTTTGACTAGCACACAGATTCTCTCTCTCTCTCTCTCTCTCTCTCTCTCTCTCTCTGTGTGTGTGTGTGTGTGTGTGTGTGTGTGTGTGTGTGTGTGTATTCTGCTGATAGATCCAAGAGCAATAGCTGCATTTTTAAAGGTTTTAAGTGTGCTCCAGAGCCTTCTTTCAATGGAGAATATTCAAATAAGGGAGCTGTTTGTAGGTTTTCCCCAGAGGAAAATCTAGCTCCTTACTTCCTCACTAAGTTCACAAAAGCCACAAGATCCTTCAATAGAATGAATGCAGTATGAATGCTGGGGCTGCAATAAAATACTGAATGATAAAGGTAAAATACATAATATTTCCATGAAAGCATCTCAGCTCTGAGAAGCTAGAAATTGCTGACATTTTCTACTAGTTTGCATGGTTTTGGGTTTCAAAATTTTATTTCTGCCAAATCATTATCCATGAAAGGGTTTATGCTTTACAAAATAAAATAAAAATAATGAACATTTAAATAAACTGGGAAGCAGAATATTTTAGCCCAAGAGCCAAATTCCATTTTGGAGATAACTGGAGCCCAAATTTCATCAGTATGCAGGGCTGAAGGCAAAAGGGGTGAGGCCAGAACATCACCATATTTTAGTTTAAAGCTGTTACTGTCAGTTACAAAGTATTAGGACAGGCATTCAACCTTGTAGAATGGAGAAATAACTGTACAAAAGCTGCGAAACCACCAAAGAAAGGTGACTGTGGGAAAGAAGTAAGGGCAGGGAAGGGAACAAAACCATCTGAGGAACCCCAGAGGGCCTGACTGGGACCCTAGGAGGGCTGCATTTGGCTCCTAGGCCTAAGATTCAGAGATTCATAAAATTTCTATTTTATGCCTTGATAATCTGCAAAGCACAGAACATGGAGAAGAATGGAGAATGCAGTGTAGAGCCAAAAGGAAACACAGTATTAGAAGACCAACACATTTTGAACAGAATGCAACACTTTTTAACCTCTTTGATTTCAGTGAGAAAATGGGCGAAGTGCTTAAGCTTCTCCCAGTGAAATCAATGGAGCTTAAAAAGGTTTATACTGGTTGAACTCTGTCCTACATGAACAGATCTAACTTTCAGTTATGCAGGTGAAAGTATCACATAAGGTCTCTAACCTCCACAGTATTATACCTTAACAGATATATATTATTAAGTACAGTTTGCTTTAACAGTACAGTTCATTGCCTTCCACTAATAAACTTAATTACTTATTCCATTTTTTCCAGGGCAAAAATGGAAGGCAGTCACAATGTTTTCAGTCTAATATTTCAAGTATGCTTTTTCCAAACATTGGTGCCCTCTGCTGGATGCACAGCAGCTCAAATATCTGGAAAATCCAGGTTTTGACAGTACTTCAACCTTCATGTTGTATTTCAAGCTTCTAGTTTCTTCCAGCAATTTCCCTTGTTTCTAAACAAATAGCAGTTCATCTAGCTACTGGTGTTATTATTTTTCTGCCTTATGAATCTATGTATTTTGGGGGTAAGATTGCTCTGTAGCAAGTATCCTTTTTTTTGGAAAGTGAATGTGCTACAGCAGCGGTGAGCAGAAAGTAGATTTAAACAAATGTAGTAGTAGATTTCTAGTGATTTGTAGTAGATCTTGTAGTAGACAAGTATCTTGGAATTCCAGTTATTTAGCAATAGGGGCAACAAGATGACTGCCCCCTCCTCCCATTCCTAAATGATAGTGCTGAACTGGAGAAAGGCTTACACAGCCAACAGTGGATGTGTGTTGCAGGCTTGTGAGCTCAGCTCTGGGACTTAAAAGAAGTTCATGTACTCAAATTTTAATATTTGAAGTACGTGTCTTTAGTACTAGGCAGAGCAAGTGGAACTTGGGGCTCTAGTAAAAAAACAGAATAGACCCTGGAAACATGAAATTTACCCACACCTGTACTACAAAGCAAAAAGAATATGATAGCAACATGGCTGATTTCTGGAGAGTGCACAGTGCATTTGGAGGCCAAAAGAGACTCTTAATAGTCTAGAAATGTCCTAAGATCACAGGAGAGAGGGAGTTCAAGTAACAAAGATATGTAAGGTAGCTAAGGAAGAACAGTAAGGGAAAGCATATGCTGTGAAGGCTTGTCATCCTTAAAGCTGGGATGTGAAGCAGTATCTTGGCCAACCAGGGGACACAGCTTCCCCATCACCACTCTGGTGTCAAACTAGACTTTATTCTTCATAATCCTCATCTGCTCAATGGAGCTAATTTCTATAACTATCAGAGCACTGCCAGAAGAAAAAGACAGAATAGAGAAAGTACTGAATGAACAGCCAGTTCGGGCAGAAAAGCAGCTGGTAAGCCTGAGGGCAAATGTTGGGCAGGAAGAGCAAAAGAATGCAAAACAGGCCGCTCAATAGCTCCATTGTGTTTCTAGCAAATTGGGACAACATTCTAATTTTAATAAGGTAGCCCATTTCCCCTTGGCTCATTCCAGTCCGGCCCCACCCTCTCCCCATTTACCTTTTACTATACCAAAACATAAGAGCACCATATATATGAATATATAGTAGGCTAAGAAAGAGTCTTCCATCCCTATTAACAGTTTAAACAGTAAGCAGGAGAATCAAAGAAAAGAAGTGCAAACAACCCATAAATGTAAAGATCTGTAAAGAACACCCAAAAGTATAAGATGCCAACCTACAGGCATCAGGAAAAGTGGAAAGGATTCCAAAGTGCTCTCACATAATGAGCTGTTAGAATACAAGACGCTTGCCCATGTAAAGCCCTTAGCACCCATAGGACCAATGCAGATCAAACAAGATAAAGCAATACCCAGTATAGTGCTTTGTTGTTCAGTCTGAATTCCTGTATCCAGCGTGCTCTCATCCTTTACTGTAGCTTCTACCATTGGCACTTCACTATTCAAATCCTCTTTCTGAACAGCAGCAGTTCTTCCTTGCACTTCAGTCTTTTTTAACTCCTTTGGCACATTCTCTTCCTGTCTCAATGTCAGGTTTTGTGCAACACTTTGCTGAAGCACTGGCTGAGTTTTAGATGATATACTTGAAGATGCTTCAGGGAGAGAGACATCCAGTTGCTTAGATGAAACTTCTCTTGGCCTTTGACTCTCTGCAATTTTTACTCCCAAGTCTGTGCTCTTTAAGTGACTCTCTTTAGGTCTTTGTTCTGCACCATGTTTTGCCAAATCTGTTCTTGCCCACTTGTCATCAGCTGTTGCCTGATACAATTGCTTTTGTTTGATCGGGGTCTTTGTGGAAGGGAAATTTTGGAGGGTTTTGTCCTTGACTTGCTCTTGAGGAAAGTGTTTTTCCAGTGTTCCCTTTCCCTTCATTCTGTCCTCAGAAGAGATAGGATCTTTCCTGGGAAATACTTTGGCTTTTATGGTATGCTTGAAGGAGTTGTCTTCCTCCTCAGAATCTGAACTTGAATCTGATCCAGAGCTCAATGAAGAGGATGACTCTTCATCTGTCGATTTCTTACGCAAGCCTTCAGCTGAGGAGAAAGCAGGTTCTGCCCCAGGAGAAGGAAACTTTGCTCTCTGAGGAAATGCTACCAGAGTTTTCCTTGCAAAGAATTTCCTCAGATCTTCATCTGCTAATTGTACAGCTGAATCAGGTTTACTGTTACTTATGATCTCACCTTTATCTGTGAATTGTGGGAAAGAATTAGGAGACAGCTTTTAAAGGAAATTCAACTGCTGTTTGGTGGCTAATGGCTTGGTATATACTCCTCTAGCACCAGTTACATCTAGGAAATGACAGAAGGGGTGAGGGTGCAGGCTGGCATTTTCAAATACACCCTTGCTTTTATAGAATTCTTGTTGAAATTTATGAAAGAATCTAGTATAAATACCAAAAGTTTAGTTTCCCCAGCTTCACAATACCAGCTGCTGCATTTCATATAAATGCTCCCTAAAAGTTTTTAAAAGCCAATATTCTTCATACACAATGGTTCCTAACAAGAACACAAATTGTCTGTCTGTGGTATCACGCTGCCTGTGAACCTTTTATTATCAGAAATACCCTGATCCAAACACTGTTGAGACAAAAATACTTTTGTAGCTTTTCAAGGACATCACAAATCGTATATTTAGTCATGCAGTATCTAAGTACCTCACCTACATTCAATATACTTTGAAACTGATTCAAACAAAGCACTTTCGATCTACCACAAAGTTCAATTATAATCTGTTGAAAGTGCAATCTCCGTATGGAATCACTTGCTTTTTCAAATGATACAAAGAGATATTTGTTAAGTAAAATACGTTGTCTTTTAATAACTGCCCTATTGATATTTGTCTGCCTACCACCTCTACCTTGGTCTTTAAATTCAAGGTTTTCGTAGGTCTCTTTTACATACATAAGCTAAATTCATCCTTTCCTACACATACACACATGAAAAGGGACTCTAACTAGTCCAGCAATCATTTGCAGCATGATTCATCTCAACATCTCTGAGCTTTCTGAAGCAGGGCATGAAAGTAGTATCCTTCCACTGTTATTTGCCTACAGCATTAGCTATTCAGAGGTATTATCTTTAAACATGGTCATCAACAGATGTACTCACTATATATTTATCTAGCTGTTTTTAAAAATACCCTGTAAGCTAGTGGCTGTTAAATCATCTTGTGGCACTGAATTCTGTAAGATGCAGGCATCTTTCCTGAAGCAGAAAAATGTAGTTCCTCTAAGCTGTACTATTCAATATGAAACTTTGATAGCCACAAGAAAAGTGCTGCATTTATACAAAGAGGCAACATTAGTAGGACCAGGGCTGCCCCCAAGATACTCTGTAGGCTCTGAAGTCTCGGGAATGCACATAATATTACTTGGATTTTGGGGAAACACATACTGCTTCACTGTTTTACTAAAAACACAAGAAGGCCTTGAAACTATGGATTACTTGCACAGTTGAGCCATCCCAGCAAAGGAATGAAGGCTTTTATTTAAAGAATTTCCCCTATAGCAAAGTTGTGGGAAATTCAACATTGCTAAATTTTGTAATGCACACGTTTTGCTGCAGAGCTTCTCACTACCTTCTAACTGTTTTACCATTTCAGGGAATCCTTAGGACATGTTATTTTGTCCCTAGGTGTAGGATCTCAGCAATGAAGTGGAACAAAAGTCACAGATGAAAGTCTTGAAAATGTAGAAATGAGGCTTTCCATGTATCTTATAACCTTTAATCATTTTTAATGAAACTGTCAGAAGTGCTGTAGCTTCTTTAGGCAAAACACTTAAAAAAGAATACTCTCTTGCACAGACCAAGAAAACACTGGGAACTGGAACTAAACTGAATTGAGACATCCAACAGATTGCTGCTCAAACTCACTCAGGCTCTCCCACACCACCACCAGTTGGACTGGCTCTAGCTCCAAAATGGTTCTAGCTCAGCTTTCTTTATGACAAGCTCATTTTCTATATGTTTTTTCCCTCTGTATGTAAGAATATTTAACCATGTGAATCCCTAGCTAATGGTGATCCAGTCCAGATAAAGACAGACTAGCTTATCTGCTGGTTGAACTGGACTATAACTTATTTGGAAAAAAATGTGAGAATCAGAAAGTGCGCATTACAGAGCTGTCTGTTGCTCTGAATGCAGACAACCTTGTGATGTTACTATTTGTGTTTCTGTCGTGCCTGTTAGCCCATACCAGTTCATATCTTTTGAACAACAATTCTATTACTTTAGCTCTAAGCTGAAATGCTGCTTGAGTCATCTTCGGTTTGTTTCAAACACTGTCTTCTCTAGCCTTTGTTTCATCTTCTGCACAATGTTCTGTGTGAATGAACTTCCTTGACTTGTTCTCAAGTACCTAAGTCTAATTTCTCAGGGCAGTCCATACTCCATAACTTCAGGTTATGAAAGCTGTGATCATAACACAGGAAATTAGAAGATGTGTGTTTCAGACTTGAGAAAATTCGTTGATTCCTGAGATGTTCTTGTACCTAGTGCACTTAACAAAAGCTATAACCAAAAGTGCTTAAAGACATTAAGCAAACAAGTCAGCACAGATCTAAGCCAGAGTTGTGCACATGCTGTGAAGTTCAGACAGCTAAAGAGGGATGAGATCACCAATGTGCAGCATTGGCAATGACCTTCAATAAAAACTGGAAAACAGGAGGGAAGTATTTAAACGCATGGTAGTTTTCAGTTTGCTAATCAGTTGAATAACTTGAGAAAGTTAATTAAGCACTGAAGGAAAGCTATCATAAAAGTCAATTGTCACAACATTTAAGGATGCAAAGCACAAGAAAGATATGAAGAACAGAGATACCAGAATGAAATGATCTGGAATTAGGTGTAAGGAGTGTAGTGATGAAGTTTAGAGTTGTTAAAACAAAAAGGGATTAAGAAAAGTTCCAAAAACTTCTCTCCAAACTGGCAGAATAGGCATGAATATGGCAAATGTTGTTCAATATATACAAATGTAAAGAAATGCACATTAGGGCAAAAAAGCCCAGCTTCAAGAATAAGCTGGAGGGGTATGTGCTTGATGACAATGTCAACCCAATGAGCAGCTGCTGTGGAAAAAGCAAACTCGATGTTAGGTATAATTAGGAAAAGAGCTGAGAATAAAAATGCCAATATCATATTACCCATATACAAACCTATGGTGTGACCACAGTTAAAATATTGTGTGCAGTTCTGGCCACCACAGCTTTTTAAAAAAGGATATAGTAGAGTTGGGAAAAGGGCAGAGAAGGGCAACTAAGATGATCAAGGGACTAGAGCAACTCTTGCAGGAAGAAAGGCAGCAATAGCTAGAATTGTTTCGGTTAGAGAAAATGTGACTAAGCAGAGACATGATAAGGGTGCAAAGAATTATGCATGGTATGGAGAAAGTGGACAAGGAGACATTGGAGTTAACTTCTGCAAGATGAAGTGATGACCAACCATTTGGATGGTTTTAAAAGGAAACTGAACAAATTCATGGAGGAAAAAACTGTAATTGGCTACTTGTCATGCTGGTTAAATGCTACCTCCAGATTACAGGCAGTATCCCTATGACTGCCAGTCAATGGGGAATGTGGGCAGAAGGGTGCTGTTGCACTCATATCATACTTGCAAGAATCTGTGAGCAGCTTGTGAGCTATGAACAAAATTCTAGCCCAAGTGGATGCTTGGTCCAACCCCGCATGAATCTTATGACTTCCAAAGAAAAGGTTAGCAAAATAGCAGAGCCTCTTTTGAAATCAGTAAAACAAAATCTAAGCATCCCATTTCTATTTCTCATTATCAGTGTTCAAAGAACGTGTGCTCATAAATGTAAAGAGCAAATGGGTGCACCTTTTTCATTCCTACACTAATCTAAAATCATTGGGTTACTCTTTCACAGAATATTGAGAATTAGGAGGAGGTCAGGATCTAATAATTATAATGCTTTTTCAGTCTCTCAGGGCCTCATTTATATAGGCTAGTCAAAGGCTCTGTAAAAATAAGATGACAGAAGCTATAATTGTTATTTTAGAGGATAAGTAGGCAAGATTGGAGCACAACAGCAGCACAACAACATGTTATGTAAAAGACATGTGAAAACTCTAACAGGTTTAGGTTACACAATTAGAGCATGCTAAAAAGATGCATTTTGAGGTCATTATTGTGTTTTTCAAACTCTGAAAATTAAGGCTTTTTGTGTTAAGACACTCTACATATCATTACCACATCAAGTCTCAAGACAAATTCTCAAAGTCTGCAGGGACTACCACATTCTGCATGAGAATTCATGTCCCATGAAAAGCAGATAATTTAAACATTCAAATACTGGAAATCTCCTTCTGAAGTGTTTAGGTCTGGTCATGTTGAAATTTCTTAAAACAATGTTATGAAGTTTGGATGCTTAGGATGGAAAAGCCTTGAGCTCTTATTACATGAATTTCTTTATTTATTATTAAGCCCTATTTATTAAGGAAACAGAGTATTTAGCAACTAAAAAAGTGAAATCACACTGATACCTCCCTGAATGTCAAAATAGGAAGATTTTGCTGGACTATAGTCATCCAAATTTAAGATACACAGAAATTTCCAATAGCAGCTGCAAATTACTCATCAGGAAATCCAGGGGTTCATGAAAAATCTAAGGAAATTTTGAACAAATACATATATTCTGCATCCCTATATTTATTCAAGGGGCATTAGGTCACATTAGATTTCACATCTTACAGTTTCTTTTTCTACTCAAGTACTCTACTGTAACTTATTTGTATCACATAAATTATCATACATTATTCTTTGTACATGACTCTTGTACCTTCTGAGAAAAATATCATGCTAAAGTGCTCAAGACTCTTCTATCACACCCGTATATTTGTTGAAGATAGTAACAATTATTAATTTTTTCTTGATATAACTTAAGATACAAGAGAGGTAAGTTCTGCAAAAAAGCACCCCATAAGCATTTCAGCATAACACTGATTAGGTAAGACATTTAAATATTAGGTTAGTTGGTTTCATTGTGCAAACCTTACCTTTCAATATCTTTTGATTCATTTATAGTTAAACAAATTCTAAAGGTTTATGAGAACAGAGGACATCCAGCCTCTGTCTATGAGACTGGAATTCTAGAACTCATGATGTTCATATAACATAGCATAAAACAATGGTTTGATAGCTGTTTAATAGAAGAAATGTAAATATCTGAAATGTGAATGTTTGGAGGAAATAAAACTAACATTCAATAGAAGAATAGATCTCTCCATTCCAAAACTGACTGGAAAAAATGGGGGGACAGGTTTTTAAAATCTATTTTCCTCCCCATTCCCCATCTATATATTTTTCTGGCTTTTTTCCAGACCTTCATATTTCTAGTAATTAGTGCTATTGCTTTTGATCTCAGAAAATGCGAATGGAACAATGTGACTTCAGCCACACAATTACCATACTACCAACAGACCTCTCGGGATAGAAGGCAGACTTCACTGCAGAAAGGTGTGTGTCATTTCCCATCTTTGCTCCAGATGAACAGCCTGTAGCACACAATTCTTTAAAAGGAATTTTAGAAGTTGTCCAGAAAAGCACTAGAATATTATGTCAGCATAACTGCAACAATTTTACAGCTTTGAATCTTGGCTGTCTACAGACCATTAAAACAAGCAAATGTTCTAGACTGCTATAAAATAAGGTTTATGAAAAGCATCTATTCATTTATAACATGCAGAAATTAACAAGAAATGATCTTACTTTGTTTGGAGCCTTTTTTAGTGTTCCCTGGTTTGGTGCCAAGAGAAACAGAAGGCAGACTTCTAAGTCGCCATGCTTGCAGTGGTAAATTCTAAAATAATTTAAACAAGACATTTGATTAATAATGTACATCTCATGCACATTAGATTTTTTTCATAAAAGTATAAGGCATAACAGATACTAATATGTCCACAAAATTCAGGGTATGTATGTCTGGCAGCAATTATACAGGATTCCTTTCAGAGCATAAGTTAAAGTGTAAGAAGTCCAAAATGTTGTCCTCAAATAAGCATACCTGCATGTGCCAACCACTGCTCAAACAATATGCACATTCATTTAGAAATATTAAAAATACATAGGAAGAAGAGCATCTTATGATCCCTAGAGAGCACCTAGGGGCCTTATGATATTTCAGATTTCCAGGTCTGAAGTCATAAACAGACCTCTGACTTTGGAGATGAAGATCCACACTCCAATCTCCCCTCCACCTTGCAGCTGGTGTGGGAAAAAAACTGTGCTGGTTGCTTTTCTAAGGTTAAAAAATCAGCCTTGGCAGAAGGGGACAAGGAGAAAGGCAGAATGGGGTTACCAGTACAATGTATTATGATAGTGCTCCAGCCTCCTTCTCTCCTCTTCCTAAGCACCTAAGTTAGATGGCCAAATAAGGCCACCCACTCTACTCTGGTTGATCAACAGGATTGTTCCATCACTCCTTGAGAACAAATATACTTACATCGGCAGGCTTGGTACATCCAACTCACTTAAATGGAAAGAAGTGTGACATAAATGAATGGATCTTATTTTCAGATGGCTGTCAAAACACCAGGTTCATGGAAATGCCTCCATTAAAGCTTGAACGAGGCAAGCACTTTGGAAAAAGATGCTCATTTTGCAGATAGCTCAGAATCTCTAAAAGCTGATAAACTGTTATATGCATTTTATTAACCAGGCATATCAGTAGTATCTTCTATAGTCAGAGATGGAAAAATCTCAAAAGCCTGGTCATAAATGTGATGGTTCTGTGTGCTCTGCCAACACAAAACTGGTTGGTAAGTGAATGTGGGAATGTTTTTTCTTTATGTCATGAGAGAGCTATGTATCTATGGTGCACCTGGTCTGTACCATAGTAGAATATTAGATGAATGTGGGATAAAACCCACTGAAGTTACCTTGCCTTTTATTAGCTCTGTAGAACCAATTATTATTTCACCTAAAAGTCACTTAAATTCAAACTACTAAAAAATGTCAAGCATCACAACAATCATATATGAAAAGAATATTCACTATTTATTATTTAAAGTTTTTATATGCAATTAAAACACTAAAGCAATTAAGGGCATGATCTGATGCATCATTAGATAAAAGTGCCTCACAACTTCCAGTAGTCTTCAGGCAGTCATGTGAGTAATGAATGCTGAGAGTTATGGGAGTATTTCTGTCTCACATGTATAGGAATGACAACTGAACTTCTAGAAGAATCAAACCCTGACCATCCATAACTAATAGCACCACCTCTTGCCCAGGAACACATGCATAAAATAGTCATGCCAATACTTGTACAAATATAAGTTAATGCAACATTAAAGACCAGCTTTAAAAATTGTTGGGGAACAATTATAGCAGTTATAGCTGTTACCACCCAGCTAATTAATATCTAAATGCATATTTTGATCACAATGCTCTTGTGATATTCTTGAAATATGGATGGAGGGAAGGAGAGAGAGAGACTATTCAATGGCTCCTCACCTCTGAAATATCTTTCTTAGGGAGGCCTGTCATCATTACATACCAAGCAAACATAAATCACTGATGCTAATATTTTAATTAAAAACAAATTTGATTTTATTGACTATTTGATCTTGGAGGCTTATGAACACTCAGTGTAGAATGGGAAGCCTACAGAATGCAGTGGGGCTGACTTTCTAAAAAGCACATTCACCTGTTCTGTTACACTAGCTTGTATGCTTTGTTATGATATTATATTTTCCTTTTTCATACACTTTACCAGTCAGCCTAGAATCATTTTTACATTACATTTAAATTTATGTTGAAGGTGAGGCATATATATTCCATAAAGAAACAGACAGACATTACACTAAGGTCTAACACTGTACTGCTATTATTGTTACATTATATTTAGTTCCCCCTATTGTCCCCCTGCAAAGAATCAACGACAGCTTATGATGTTTGCCCTTTTCCATTTTACCTTCACATTGTTGAGGTACGTTAGGTTGAGGAGTTAGTGACTGGCTCAAAATCACCCAGTGAGCCTCATGGCAAGTGGAGGCTGGAACCTGGCTCTCTGTCACCCTCACCACTACACCACACTATGGCTATTAGTGGAAGTCATTCAAGCCAATTTCGATGCTTGCATATAAATATAATAAGTTTTTGGAATATGCTGTTTTCTTGCATCTTTATATAGCAGGGCAACTTGGGCTGTAGACCAAAACAACTGGAGCTGCATCCGTCAACTCCTACTGACTATATAGACTAGAACGAGTTGACAAGTACTGTAGCCTGAAATAATTGGAGGGCCACAAGTTCCCAAACCTTACCGCAGTTTTACCACTATAATAGTCCCTCCCTCGCCCCACCCCCTCATCATATGTTAATAAATGTCTATTTTGCCCAGCCTAATATACGCTGCTTGTCTGTGGTTCATCTAGTTCTTATGCAGAAAAGCCGTTCCTAGCTCTGCTACTTGAGATCCTTCCCATGTTATGCCCTGCCACCTTGATTCGGGTCCCACACGCTAGTAATGTACCCCCAGCAGTGGAGACTCGGAGAATAAGGCGAAGGCTGCAGTCCCGTGCAAATTCACCTGCAAGTAGATGCCATTGGATCCCGCGGGCCTTACTTCCGACTTAAAATGCACAGAATTAAGCTACCCCGGGACCCTCAGGTCAAGTCCTGACACAGACACACAGGCCCCACAAGCACATCTCATCACTGGTATAGGCATAAAAAGCCTACGGTGACTTCCACTCTTGGCGGCTGGAGAAAGCCCCCCACCAGAACGACTCCCTCATCCTCAATCTCGGTTACCTTGAGCGCAGACACCCTGCTAGAGCCGATGAGAAGACTGGCCGCCATCTTGGCGCTCCACCAAAAGGCGTCCCCTCAACAACCTTTACCTAAGAGAGAGGGAGGAAAAGGTTCCCACGCGCTTTTCCGGCCTAGGGCGCCCTCTCCTAGGAAAAACCCACGCACTTCGCGCATGTGGGCGTGAGGCGAAGGCAGCGGCACCGCCCCGCTTTCCCCGGAGCAGCGCCTTCCCTCCGGCTGTTCAGCGGCGGTCGTGGCTGATGGGCAGTAGCGTTGCTGAACACTCGTGAGAGTAGCTTACAGAAAGAAAGGGAGCCTTTCTTCTTATGAAATTTTACTTATCTTGCAGAACAAAGACAGCAAAAAGAAAGAAATCCTTAATAATATAACAAGGTCACCGAAGAAAGCACAGATTATAATTCCTAAGGGCGTGACATCTGACAGAGAAAAAGTGCTACTGTTCATAACGTTCCTCAGCCAGCACTGCTGGGTCTTGCGGGGCACTTAAGAGGTGTAGGATTTTAGGTTGCGCCCTTAGTCTATAACAAATATACATGTGGAACATCTACAGCAAAATGGCCTAAGCAGGAGGTCAGTATCTAATGAAAGAATAAAAATGCAATTTATACAGCATATAAAAAAGTACGTGTGCAAGCAGCATTATTTTGTGTGTATCTGTGTACCAGTCAGAACACATAAAGGAAACTTTGTCATTTGATCCTAAGTTTGAACAACAAAGGATGCCTTTGGTGGAAAGGTGAGGCGCTTTGAAATTCCAGCCGTTTTCTGATCACAGGGCCACGAAAGGGAACAGTGGTTTTTCCTTGGCATGTATGATATAAATTTTGTATCAGGCTGCCACTGTGTCATTTCTCATTTATTAAAAATAATGTATAACACTTTCTATCAATTCTGAATTCCCCGAAGAAACACCACTGTTACAATAGTCTCCTTATGATGGCCTTATTCACATGTTCAAGTGAATGCATGCAAGCTTCATGTAAGGGTATACACAGATGCTCAATATTCTCATGTGTTTTTGTTCCAGTTCTTACCATTGAATATTCAGTGCACCACTTTGAAGGGAGATGGGAGGGATGTGTGTGTATGTGTGTACATGCATGTTGGAGGAATGCTTGCTTCTGAGTGAATGAATGGATGGGAGACTATGACTCTGTCAAAGATTATGTGGATGAAAAAAGTATGCATGTGTGTACAGTGTGTTAAGGTGAGTTTATTCAGGTGACAGAGAGTGATGATAGCGGTGAATTGACTGCTAGAGAGAGTAAGCATGCAAACATTTGCCTACTGTGAAATAGGTATTCTACTGCAGCAGAAAAATATGGTTATAAGGAACTACTTCTCTGTGTTAGAGCCCACCTCTGCCTTATACTAGTTTCTGGGACAAGTTACTTTTAACATCACAGGTGTGTTAGTTATGAAATGGTTAAGTATGAACAGCAGAACCCTCTATTGTGATGATGTGGGCCTGGTCCAGTCAGGTATCCTAGGTTTGAGAACACACAGGAAAAGACAAAATCATCTGTGTCAAAGATGATATAAAGTTTATTTAATACAGTGAAGAATATGGATGCAGATTATTAACAAGCTAAAGCTCAGTGGCCTATCAGTACCCTTAATAAACCAGGGGCAACCCATGGGCTCCAAGGCTGCTTGGCCAAGCAACATGTCAATTTCTCCCTGCAGGATAACAACAAAAAATGCCTCTTGCCATAGAAGTTGCACTGTTTCATTTCCACTATCGCAGAGCCTGTCAGGATGCACCCAGGGTCCCTGCCCACTTTCTGGGAGTAAAGCTGTTTTGATACAAAACAATGCAAAAACACACCTTATCTACAGAATCTTTGAGGAAGGCAACTGTAAGGCCATTATGCCTGGTGCCCTTCTTAGTAAGCGCAAGGCTATGAGGACTTGGCATGCTTGCAAAAAATTATTTTGGCTTTTGGACACAGGGAAAGTTCACTACCTGTTGAACCTCAACAGCCTCCTAGCCATTCCTCCAGTTGAACCAGAACAATGCACACCCTTCAGCTACCATTATGTGAATGGGCAAGGTATCCATAGCAGCCATTTTGTTAAGGTACCAGTAACCCATTCTCAAAATTCCAAACATGCCCACAGTCCCATAAAGGTTGGTGAAACCAGCGTAGGGGTTTCAACAGGAACTTTCATGTGCATCATGTCCTGACTTGCTAGATGTTGCTAGCTATTCTTTCCAGAAGAAATGCAATCACTTGAAGTGGGTGGAAGTGGAGGGCACTTCATGAAATGTGGTAACCGCCAATGTGTTATTTGTCTCAGGCACCAGTGAGAAATGGATCAGTATCTTGGATGATGAAATGAAGTGCATGGTGCTGTCTTTAGCCTTGACCATTTTGGGTGTTAAACTTTAGAATCTTCCCTTGGACTTGGAAATAGATTGGTAGCCATATCAAAATTATAATCTCGAGCTCCAATCAGAAGTTTGGGAGCTACATTTCGGACCATGTTTTCTAGACTCTCTTCAAAGGAAGCCCCATGTTTAAGTCCATTAAGGTGCAACCCTATGCATATTTAGACACCAAAAGCCCTTCAATGCTCTGCATTCTTCAGACATCTTATTACAAATAGATGTTTCCATCAGATTTTGTATTTTTGTTAATGAAAGTGCATAAGCGATCACTCTTTTTTGTAATTGTTAGATTCAAGACACTGATTGCCTTAAAGTTTCAAGGTACACATCCATCCAAACAGGGTATTTTTGTCTCTTAAATTTATGAAAACAAAATATCGGCTTAGATCTAACTGCTGGCCTCTCCTAATATATTATTTCCTCGAAGAGTTGATTAGATGCAGAGAAGGAATGTTCAAAGGAAACAGTTTTGCTTGTATATTTTGGCATATTTGGCATCTCAATATTTGGGGCAACCTATAGCAACCCTTTTGATTTGCCATTTAGAGAAGACTATCTGATAGATAATGGGTTAAACCAAAGAAGGAGAAAGTAGTTACTGCTCTTTGGAGACAGAAGAAAGACTATAGTGTGTAGCTCAGAGAAGCCCAAGGCACTTTGAACATTTCACAAATTCTTTCCAAGAAACAAAATGTCACTGAAGATGCTATTACAAAAGCATATTTGGGGATATTAAATAAGACTAGAGATGGTGTGAGTTGAAACTAATTTTGTTCAGCCCTGCACTACAGATAGTTAGAAATAATTATAATTTGAATAACATTTTTTCAGCCTTAACATGGGTAGAATCCGGTGCATGCTTAGCAAGGACTATGTCTTCAAGAAACTCATGACTGTCCTTCAAAAAAAAAAAAATCTCAGAAAAACAACGTAATCACTTGTACAAGACACAAATACGTTTCAGGATCGAGAAGCAGCCTCCCTCTGCCCCAAGGTTTTCTAACTCTAGGACAGAGGAGTGCATAGAAACTTGAAAGAGTGAGCGTGACACGCAAACGAAGCTTTCGGTAAAAAAAGAATGAAGAGCCTCCTGTGTCCATTACAGCTCCAGCATTGCAACTCTTAGCAGAACACCACCCCGAACCCCCGCTGTACACCTTGCACTGGAAGCTGGAGTGGAAAACTATTCCGTTTTATTTCAGAAGTTCCCACGAGGCTTCCAAGAGCGCTTGACTTTCCCCGAAAAAGACTGCTTTCATTCTCTAATTAAAAAATCCTAAAAGGCCAAAGTCTACGTATGGCTGCAGTTCAGACAGCGCACAACTCTTTGCAGAACTATGGAAGAGCGGGCGTCCGGAGGCGTGCTACTTATTTCGGTCGGTGACGTCATCAAACGGCGACGGGTCTTGATGTCCCACGTGGGTCTGATGGCAGGCATGGAAGCAACTGATGTTCCTGGATCTTCTAGTCCCAAGCCGGGGCTGGCGATCTGCGGGGACTTGATGGTGGCCACCGGCGGGACTAAGTTCTTGGCCGCTCGCTTTAAAGAGCCCAGGTGAGTGAAATGGAGCCGAAGAATGTTGCTTTAGATACTGCATGTGGAGAGATCGTGGAAGTCGAGGGGAGTGTGTGTGTAAATGTAGACAGCCGGGAAAGCATGCCTGTCAGTGTCGTTTCCCGCTCATTTGCAACGTCTCTGGGCTACGACAGCAGCCGGGAAAGGAGTAAATTGTATGTTTCAACTCTGATGAGTTCTTCCTTAGCAGTGCTTTAGTTTCCCCTTGTCCAAGAATGAATCCACCTCCCTCTTCGGGACCAAGTGTGGAACCAGCTCTTTTCAAAATGAACAGAATGGTGATTTTAATTCTCGTTGGTAATTATATGGGCATTGTCTTAGGGTAGCCTCTAACATCTCACACCAGATGTGTTAATTGGTTTGCCTGGTGCCAGCACATTTTTATTTACCAGCAACAACTGCTCTGTGAATGACCACTGTTAGTAATGTGATTGTCACCATCAGTACTTTCTGTATTAAATTCCTCTCTGATCTCACTTTTTACAAGCCTACCCTATCCCACCCATAATATAAACTTGGAACTCTGTATAACGCTCTGCACTTCTGATAAACATCTCCACAATAATTTATTCTACTATAAATTTATCAGGTTTTAGGGTGGAATTTGACTCTTTGTTGATTATGTAGTCACTGAGTTGTTCGTGGGTTAAACTAATGTAATGGCTCAGGGTTATGCTGAATCCCTTTGTAAATGGGTTAACATATACAGTTAAATCTCTTTGGCTGATGTACTTTGGAGAAAAACATTCATTTATGTTTTGAAGGAGAGGGAAACAAATGTATAGGAAGCTAAGGGAAGCATTGTACATCCCTTAGCTTGCATCAGTAGGGACCATTTCAGAAATGAAATGCTGCCTTATTAGGATGAAAGAGATGGGGAACTTCTCTCAAATATTATAGATGATCAGCACTGAAAAGAGCCAACACAGTGTTTTCTTCCTTTAATTTTCACACACTTTCTGCCTTCTTGTAGTCACTTGGAGTGAAATGTTTTATTTATTTAGAGTTTTTGTATGCTGTCCCATTGCTTGTAGCCCCAGGACGGCTTACATAAATAAATAAACGTGATACAAAATACAATTAAAATCTGGAAACACCCTGGCTGCACAATTAAAACCTATAGATATTAAGTGTTGTTAAAATATTTTTTAAATAAAAAGGTCTTAGCCTGGCGCCGAAAAACAAATATGGACGGCGCCAGGCGGACCTCTCTGGGGAGCGCATTCCACAGATGGGGCGCCACTGCAGAGAAAGCCCTCCTCTGGGTACTTTGCCTCCTGATGTCTCTCCCGGAGGGCTCCCAGAGGAGAGCCTCTGCTGTTGATCTCAAGGCGGGAGGGCAAATAAGGAAGCAGGCATTCCTTTAGGTATCCATGTCCCAAGCCGTTAAGGGCTTTGTAGGTGATAACCAGCACCTTGAATTGAGCCCGGACTTCGATGGGGAGCCAGTGAAGCTGGTAGAGGACTGGGGTTATGTGAGAGTAACGCTCAGTCCCCGTCAGCAACCTGGCTGCTCTGTTTTGCACCATCTGAAGTATCCGCACTGTCTACAAGGGCAGCCCCACGTACAGCGTGTTACAGTAGTCCAATCGGGAAGTAACCAGTGCATGCATCACTGTCGCTAGGCAGTCATCCTCCAGGTAGGGATGCAGCTGATGGATTAGCCGAAGCTGAAGGAAATTACCCATTGCTTTACCATATATATGTGAACACTGGGATTTCAGGATATTATTTATTATATTTATATTCTGCTTTTTCTTCCAATGAACCCAAGGTGGCATACATAATCCTCTACATTTTATCCTTGCAGTAGTTCTCTGAGGTAAGACAGGCCAAGAGACTATTACTGAGGAACTAGAGCCCAGATCTCCCCAGTCCAGTTCATTAGCCAAACCACTATCCCACATAGTGTAATGTAATACACTGATTTATTTCTAGTCAATCAATTTATGTAGACTATGTATTGTCAATTCTAAGAATAGCTCTCTGCTACTGTTGTGGAGCCCTGTGTTGAAAATTTCTCATGATTGCTGTGCAGGCCCCTTAAATGGATGGATTCTGTAAATTCCTTGGGATTCATAACTACACTCCCACTGATGTGCAGTCTCTCCAAAGCACTTTGCTATGATTACAGACCACATTGTTCCATTAAAGTCTACCGACTTAGACCTACTTATCTGGGAATAAGCTAAGAGAAGCTCTACATATCTCAGGGTTGAGTTTGGAAGGGAGATAACTTTTTATCTCCCCCTTTTCCAACCACTAAAAGCAACAAATACAAACACATTTGGTTATATTTTCTGTTCAGCATAGTACTTTTTTACTAATGCAAAAACTTGCAAAGACATGTAGGATATACTTTAACCACGAAAATTACTCATATGTGTATAGGTATGAATGTAGGTGTTCTTTCCTGGTATTTTGTGAATTGTATCATTTGTGATCATGAAAGACTATAATTTTGAAGCTATGGGCTAAAAAGACTTGGGGGTATGGGGAGAGATAAAATATTGTATAGCACAGTTGAGCCTGCTACCATAGGATAGTATTGATTACATGTATATATATTCTCTTAATTTCCAGCAAAGATGACCTTTTCATTTATGACTGCACCACAAGCAAAGAGCTGCAGGACAATCAAGGGTGAGACTGTTTAAATTCTCTTTTATGTGAAATAGCCTTTCCATTGCAGGTTTTTTATGCTGATACTCTTGGGGATATGATTTTACCTCTGTTAGAAAAGTAGAGAAATGTTTGCCTGTAGGTGAGAGAAATCTCCCCAGTTTGCTGTATCGTTTGCTCCACCAGTACATCATATAAAATACAAAGATGAATCAAGGAACTTAAATTGTTTATATGGAAGGAATATTTTTATGATTTTCTTTCCTTGTTAATTGCACCCTCGTGGAAGTGAGTATCCTCCAAAGTAATAGAAACATGATTCTCTACTGGCTAATTTTATGGGTTCTGTACTAAAGTCATGTATTGATAACACCTGTTGGACGCCAAGCCTGGTGTTGATAATTTGAACCACATTCTTCTTTGTCTCTTTTTATTATTAGAAAGGATGGAAAGTCAGCAGGTAAAGCAAGTAGTGAGATCCTTGCCTCTGCATTCTCTTCATCAGGAACTTACTTTGCTCTGACAGATGACAACAAACAACTGATTCTTTTTCGAGCAAAGCCTTGTTGGGAATGTCTGAGTATAAGGTATGGAGAGGAAGATATTTTGGGGAAAATCTTTGAATTGTACCTAAGTGTGCCATTCTGCAATCAGGGCTGCCACCAAACGATGCCACAAGTAGCTTACCCTGCCTAGCTGTCTGATAGTGATTCTGTTTGTATCCAAAGGACAAAAGCATCTTTCTTCACTTCCCTAAGCCTTCTTTTCCCAAATTTCGTGAGCTCCAGGGCCTTTTAAGTTTTCCTTCACTTGCTTTTTTATTGTACTTGGATGCCCCTGTGCTGGATTGTAACCTTTCATAATATGTTTTCCTATACCCCTTCTCTCTAAAAGGATAGAGAGCACTATTGGTGTGAAAACTTGTAGTGGCAGAACATTACCTATATATTATATTTATGCCATTCCCTTCCTTAAAGGACATGGTATACATGAGGTATTATCCTTTTTTATCTTAGGCATCATCTGGTGAAATAGGTTAAGCTGACATATTGAACAACCAAAAGCACCCAGGTCTCTCTGACCTTAGTCTGATTTTTCTATCATTACAACATAATTGGTTTCTTTCTCAACTCATAAAGGACTCTATATTAAACAGGTGTTCTAAATCTAATAAAAGATTAATCAGCTTTAGCTCTGGTTAACTTTTATGCTGGTTTTAGCACCTGAAGGAACTCTTTGGATTTTGATCCTAGTACATGATATCTGTTTTTAACCTATTCTGTTACTCAGTCCCTCCAGTATGAAGAACATGGATACCTTTTGGTGGGAGAAAGTTTGTTGTACACAAATGTCTGTGATTTGGTACAAGTTCAGCACATTGCTGATTTTTTTCAGTTGCTACAGCACAAAAAATATACGGGTTGGATCCTTTGGAAAAAGGTTTGCTGGCTCCACAGTTAGTGATCCCTGAAGTGGAAAAATAAAGTCTACCCTTCCAGAGAGAAATTTTGGCCCCAATTGTGTCGATTTGTCTTTTCAGATCTGTTGTTAGAAGGTGTACTTCCCTGATTATAACAGCGGCAGAAGATAAGATTCTGGTTGCTGACAAATCTGGTGATGTTTATTCCTTCTCAATCACAGAACCAGAAAATGCAGGAACAATTGAACTTGGACACTTATCCCTTCTCTTGGATGTGGTGTGTATGCAATTTCTGACTTGATACTATATTTAAAGAAGATTTTTAAGTTTTTCACGGTTAGTCTTTGAGATACTGAAACATTGCTTTTTTCCATTACCAAATCAGTTGTTAAAAAGAAGATAGGATGCAGAAGCAGAAAGTGATTATTTGTGTAATATTTGAATATGCTCAGAGATTCCAAATTCCTTAATTGTTCTTGTGTTCATGTACTGAACCAGTTCCATGGGCCAGTGTGTTCATGCAAACCCCCCCCCCCCCCAAATTATCCAATCACTCCTCATTTTCCTTGGGTACAGAATCATTCACAGAAATGTCACCTGCATGTGGTGGCCAGCCACTCCTGTGATATCAGTGGCTGACATTTCTTTCACCTTTGATTATTGAAATTGCTTCCAGCTGCTATTTTTTATATTGTCGAACTGCTTCAGTCATGCTGATCCATGAGATTCCATATTTGGTGTACCTGGAGGGTTTGTCTGGAGAAGTTGCTTGCATGGACCAGCCACAAAGATACATCTGTACAGGACTGTTTTCAGAAATCATGTGGATCAGAGTGACGAGCTTTTGAGGGAGAGCTATTTCCTAGGGATTTGCTTTGACAGTGAGTTATTCTTCCTTCCAGTATTGATTAATAATATCACGATGATGGATAATACCAATAATAATGCTAATCCAGGTTTCTTATTTCCACCTCTGTGGAAAATACAGTGTACATGTCAATGTTTCCATAGCAAGTTTGTTTAACAGCCAATTGTTTAGCTACCTGCAGCCTGTAAGGATTGTCTTCAGGCAACAGGCTAGAAAAACTTCTAAGTTGAAGATAATTTTTCAGGCCATCAATGTGTCCTAAATAGCAGGCAAGTGTGAACAAATAGATTGATAAATGTGTTGTGAGCCAGCAACTTTGCTGACTTATGTTTGAGACTAAATATGAAACCAAATGAAAGTGCGCCCCACTTAGGTGTTCAAAACTGAGCACAGTAAATGTGTGAGGAGCTGAAGTGTGCTAGCCATGGCATTCCCCTTCACACAGGAGAGTCTCTTGGAAAGTTGTTTTCCTTGCATAAAGGAGAGCATAAATGGGGCTCTCTCTTTCCTCATGGCTTCACTAAACTCAGTTTTAGAGCACCTGAGAATGGGTCTACTGTGCAACTAGTCTGCGTGTGATTGTGTTTAGGCACGTGAATGCAGGCTCCAAAATGTCATGGGCTGTTTTATGGTGACTTGACTTTTGTCATTAGGCACTGAGTCCTGATGACCGGTACATCCTAACTGCTGACCGTGATGAGAAGATCCGAGTTAGTTTGATTAGAGAGCCATATAACATTGTGTCCTTCTGCCTGGGCCACCGAGAGTAAGTGCAGCTATAAAAAGCTTCCCACAGGATTAAAAGGAAAGAGCTTGCTGTTTACAAGGGTGGTAGAAGGGGAACTAGGAAGTTCAGTGCTGCATAATGGGTCAGCTTACCTGCAGCGAGCTTTTAAGGAGCCTGAAGATCACTCCCCTAGCTCTGGTTCTGTCAAGTAGCAGCTGGGCTGAATTGCTGAGACACATTTAGAAAAGCAAGTGATGATGCTGGTGCTCCTCTCCTGGATTGTTTCAGAAAGGAGGTGGAAGATCACATGTTGGGGATCATTTTGATACCTCAACATTTCTGCAATAGAGGTAAGCTGCTACTAGGCAAAATCACTTCTCCTTCAGGGCCCAGCTCTCATTTTTCTCTTTCTTTTCTTCCCTTCTTGCTGCCTGCCGCAGGGCTAAGCCAAATAGGAGTCACACAAAACTGTGGCTCATGGAAGGAGCAGCCGTTTGAGCACAGAGCTGCAGCTAATATCTACGTGTATGTCCTGCCTCGGGATGAAGCTCCCTACCCTCCCTCTCTCATGCGTTTTTATTTTTGTTTGTGCTTACTTGTGCACTTGTCCCCTCTCTCTCCTGCTTTGTGAGCAAATACACACAGAAGGATAAGAGGTGTCCCATTACTCCCCACACACACACAGACCGGTGGGATTTAGCACCTCTGTGTTGATCAAAAGCCATGTCAGTGGGCACCTGATCTGCTTTCATTATTGGATAAATGTTGGTCCCTGTAAATATTAGCCCTCTGGAATCAGTCCTTCTTTATAGTTGGGTCTTGAGCCCTCTAAGCTTTTTAGTAAAGAGTGATACTAGTAGAAATATTTTGGGTAAATGGTGACTAGGTGTTATATCCAGACATTCTATATATTCTATATATATGTGCACTGAGATGATACTTGAGCTCCAACAATCACATCTGATAGTGGGATAAGAAGGAAGCCTGTATTTTGCCATGACATTGCCTTCATCTTAAGCATTTGTAGCTTTGTTAAATGATACCTGCAAAATTGTACAAAATACATTGCTTAGTTGATTATCTGCCTAATAAAAGGTGACTGTCTTTTTAACACGTTTTCTATATGAGTATAATGTTCCTGTTAATCACTTGATTAAAAATTCCTTTCTTAACCAGAGCAGCACTGTGGTGGTCGACCATATAGTTCTGCATCCCCTTTTGGGTAGCTATCATGGTAGCACTGGCAGGACAGTTTCATTAGAGATGGGTGTTACTCACTTCAAGACTCCAGCTGAGTGCCAAATTACCTACGTGGCTGGACCCGGTTGTATGGATTTTGTTGAATCTGTTCTGCCAGTGTTTCTGTGATTGTCAGGTGCCTTCTGTTTCATCATCTGTTCATTGACAGAAGCAGTGGGGTTTTAGTAATATACTGGAATTTTATCCCCTTTGTACAAGTGTACATTAGCCCAAGTGCACATTTGGCCAAAACTTCCCACCCAAAGTTAAAAGACAGCAGCATGCCGCTGCAACTCAGAAAAAGCTGGTCTGTTGAAGAATCTGTGGGGTGGATCTGTGGAAATCCAAATGCATTAGAAGCCATTGCTGACTATGGATATATCAATTTGCTAACAATGATGCTCTCTGAAACAGAACAGAGAATGAGTGTCTAAAGCCATTCCAGCTGTATTTTATTACAGCCTGCTCGAATGGACCTTTTGGTGTGCCTTGAATAAGCCAGAAACCAGACAAAGCCTTCTTAGCACAATAACTGTGTCCATGTGGAGGATTTTCCCCCTAATATGCTAGATAAGATTCTGACCCCATCCCCTGTGCAGCCTTATATGTTGCTATGGTGATGTGTAACCTCACACTTGGCTATCTTTTGTTTTCCTTTATACTCTGTCATTTATATTCTTCCTAGATTTGTCAGCCGAATATTTGTGATACCAAACTACCCAGGTCTTCTTTTATCAGCTTCTGGGGTATGTATATTTCTTGGAGACAATCTAAAACTGGAATTTTTGAAAATAGATATTTTTCCCCTTTTTTATGGGCAATTGCTCATGCTCCTTCTCAGACACTTTTCTAGAGTATCTGAATCACCATTTCAGAAAAGTAGAGAAAAACAGCTTTCTCTGTTCCCTGTTTTGGATCACATATAATTTATTTCTTGGGAACTCCTTAAATACAGCAGATGCTTTTAATGCACACTGCTCTATGCATGTGTTACAATTCAAAGTTGATCTAAGAATAGGTCTTTAAACCTCATTGTGTGTGTGCAGGTACATGATAAAGAAAATGATTGAAACTCATGGCTGTCTTCTCAGCAGAAATGGTATTAATCTGCCCCTCTCTTAAATCCTTCAGGACTGTACATTGAGGCTCTGGGAATACAGAAGTGGGAAAGAAGTGCATTGCTGTCAACTGAATACGCTGAATAAATGTGAAACCACCAAAAATGAGAAGGTAATTTGATTAATGCCCACATGCATCATAACTGGGCACCAGAAAGATTACATATGCATTCGCTCCTTGTTTTTTCCTGTATGTCTGTTCCAATCATCTGAAACCTGCTTTCAGAATGGTTGTTTTTTGGATTGAACTTTTAAACAGCATGAACTGAGAGTACACTTAAAACAATAAAAATCCCTTGTTACCATTGTAGAATTAATTTTTCTATTGTTTAAATTTTAAACTATAGAAAGACTAATTCTAGAAAAGTAATGGGGGCTTTTTATTGTTCCGCAAACTGATTTGTAAAAGTAAGGCAAATCATTCAGTCACCCAAAATGAAAGAGAGGTGTCTAATTTAAAACTATTCTGCTGTTCGGAAAAAAATAGTTGTCCCTAAAAAATTTCAGAAGTTAGGAGTCTCCCAAATTTAAAATTGAGAAACACGCACATCATTTTGAGATGTGTAAACACTGATCACACTGCAGATATCTGAAAGTGCTTTGACTTGGTGATAGGGAGTTGAAGTTTTCACATTTTCAGACAACTGTGCATTGTTACATGCCTCTCTCTCTCTCTCTCTCTCTCTGTAATCTTGAATATAACATGGTCTCCCTCTTACTTGGGGAAATGTGGGCTGATAAGGGACTATGAGCTTCCCCTCTTGGTTGGATGATTCTGGACGTTTTTGCAACCTCGGAATCTTACCACCATTGGCAATCCTGTGCATTCTGTCCGGCCTTTCATCTGCTTGCCCTTGGTTCTGGACAAGTTTTGTGGGGACAGGTAGCTTGTGCATGATGCAGGAAACTCACAGTGAATACTTTGATACCACTACTATTTCTGGATTTAGAATAAGACTTTGAATTCCGTATAAAAACTGTCTTTTCATTACCAACACCCCACCTCTTCCTCACCCCCCTTCCTGGTTTCCCCACAGATCTCTACTTTATGCAGATTCTGATTGTATTTCATTTTCCCTCTCCAGAAATATACTGTCTCAAGAATAACTTATTGCTGTGAAGGAAATTACATTGCCGTTTTATATGACCGGTAAGAGATATATGTATATAAAATCTGAAATTACTATAAGGGTGCTAGACAGTTGCATAATTTTATTGCTTTCTAGAGCATTTGGAAACAGACATTTCTGGAATGAAGCAAATCAGCAGAGCTTGCAGAAGGGAGCTGTATCCTGTCCTAATCTGAAAATGCTAGCTTGGCTGCAGTCCTATATACACTTACCTGGGTAGCCCTAATGATGCTGATTGTTTCTGCAAAGTATTCCCACAGTATCCATCTTCCAGCTTGACACTGTTGCTCAGACCCTCACTGACAAACAACACATCTCTCTGAAGCACAATGGCTGGGGCATTGCATTTGAGGAAACAGGCGGACTCTGGATTTTGCAGGAGAACAAGCAAACACCTCTTCTTTTTTACCAACCTGTGGATGGGCAGTGGCAGGTGAGGAGAGCCTTCTGGTTACAGTGGTCTATGTGCTTACCATGCTGTGCTCCGGAAGAGGCCTTCATGATACTAATGGAGTGATAGCCTGTGATCAATATACCGCAGTTCAAAGCCTTATCCTGATGATTCAGAAAACAGAGGCATAAAACTAAATTTGCTCTTTGAGAAGAAAGTGTGAGGACGAATGTTTGCTCCTTTTTCTGTTGTCGGTCTTCATTCATGAAAAGATGGAAGTCTTAAATGGTTCAGGGCAAACACAAAAGATTTTTTCCTAGTGGTGGTCTGTATATGGGGTTTCTGAGAGTCATTCTTCTCTTTTAGCCCGCTTCTGAAGAGAGAGGATTGATGAAAATGCCCAAGTACATACATGACAACTGGACAATGTTTGAAGGTAAGAACGTTGAATGCAAAGTTCAAGAAAATTTCCTTCAAGTGAAGTGTTGGACTAGGATTTATGTTTAAAGTATTGGTTCTTTGGGGAGGTCTGGTTGTGAGAAGGGCCTCACATGCGTGTCTGTTTTTACCTGTCCTATCTGGGTTGGATTCAGACTTAGAGTACACCCATTGAAGTCAGTGGCACAAGTTAGCTTTAGCTAACTTAAATTTCATTGATTTCAGTGGGCCTCTGAGCATGATTGAACATGATTCCAGCATACTGTCTGCTGAGTTTGGAACAACATACGGCATAAAGATTGCTATATATTATGTACTGGCAATCTTCATAAATCTTATAATGGTTCTCCAGTTGAGAAAACCAGTAAAGGTGAACAGTCTTCCAATTGCAGTATCTCCTGCCACCTTTCTTTGCTATTTCTAGGAGGAGAAATTCATTTGGTCTTACCTGATTACACCCTATGAACCCAATACTCAGATTGAACCCCATCTATCCTGTGTAATTTGCGCTTTTCCCAATTTTATTCTGGCATTCTCCAATCAAAAATTGAATATGAAAATGTGCATATGAAGGTACACATGAATGCAAATATTAGTGAAAATGACATTAGAGATGCCTTTTAGGAAAATTGCTTGCAAAATGATGTATAACAGGCAAAACTGCATTAAAATATATGTATTAGGAGGAATGTACACACATTTTCATGGAAACTTGAAAAACTCTTCAATTGCAGGATGAACTGAACTTAAGACTGGAAAAATGGCAGACAGGGAGAAACAAACAAACGCAGATTTGAACACCCCTACTGTGTTCTGTGTACACCTAGGTTGGGCAGATCCCTGTGCTCAAGAGTCCAGTCCACTGCTCCACATGACTCTACATTTTAGGTCATGTCCGGAATCCCTGTGGACATTCCAAGTATCATCAGCAGATATGTCAGTGCAGAAAGTTATTGTGAGAAGTTTGAAAACCGCTTTTAAAATTGTTGTATTGGAGAGCTAGCTGTTTGATTGTTTTTGTTGCATCCTACTCTGAGCTTTTAGAATAATGTGGGACAAAAATCCACAAAAGAACAGTTGAATAATGTGAAAAGACAGTGGAATAGTTTTCTTAGATGACAAATTAGAACACTGTGAACAGATCCTAAGTGCATCAGCAGCTGGAGAAAGGCGGCCATTAAGATTACAGTGATTATTGTAGCTAATTAACACAAGGGAGCTTGGTTGATGATTCCTGTTCCAGATGCTTAATTTGTGTCTTTACCCCTATAGAAAAGGTAGTTATCCACATCTCTTAATTGTCAACATTTTAATAGCTTTTTCTTCCTCTTACCCAAGCTTTAATAGTCCTTCATCAGATGATCACAATTCTCTTGTAACATATTGCGCAGGGGGTGGGAAGGGGATGAACTTTTGAATAATATATATTTTAATAAATGTTGCTAAACAAATTCAGCACTGGTATAGTGTTGTCCAGTCAAATAGAAAGGCTAATAGATGAGTAGATTTGTTGATTTTCTCTGCTGAGGCAGATGAGTTTCTCTTTTCTAATGATAGCAGTTTTGACTTCTGTGGGGTGGCTGAACAAAGTACCAATTAATGACACATCAAAAACAAAATTAATCTTGCCACGGGATTTTGCATCTTGTGGTGCCTACAATACCTCCCACATTATCTGTTATCATGGTTCAGGGACTAAACTAGTATGCCAATTAGTCCTACATAAAGTAGATAGTCTAACTTAGATCCCATTCATTTTAATGTGGCTAACATTGGCTAGTTATCCAAAAATCTGTCTGACAAAAGTTACCAAAAACAACCAAGCAATACCATAAATGAAATGTACAGTCTACAAGCAGTAAATGATAGCAGCTGAGTTAGTGAATTGTTACCACATAACTTTGTTTGCATTTTCTGCATATTCACAGTTGTCTTGACTTCTTTTGCTCAGCGTAAGACCTCGGTAATAGCTGATTATTGAATAATTCATCATTCTATGTTTAAACATTGTTTCTTTTTTAAACTCAAAATGATGCCAGCATTCGACCTATATTAGTCTATCTTCCTTCTCCATTCTGTGCTTCCTGACATATCTCTCTGCCCACCTCTAGCTAATGTAATGCTCTTTACTTGGTCCAGTTCAGGCAGTACCTGGCCACAATGGGCATCATGGTATTTTTTAGAGGTTAGACAGAGAGCTATGCAGCAAATAGGAGGAAGTGCTATCAGTTGCCCATGCAGCAGTAAGTACTTCTGCAAGCCAGGGAATGGTTAAGCACACATAGGAGAGGCCCATTCTGTGGCTCACGAAACATAATTGTTTTATGACCATGAAAAAAGTAAATAGTTTAACAATCCACCATTAGGGAGAAGATCAGTCCTGCTGGAGAACCATAATTAGCTACATTTTGTAGATCATAGAAGTTTAGGTGCTTACCAAACTATAAGTACTGAACTCAGTGGAAAGCTGGATGTAAAAGTATTGCCATCCCCATTAAATTGAAAACTTGGGGAAATCATGAAACCTGTAAGTGCCAGTTTTTAGTGTTACAGTTCTTACAATGCCAGATGGGAAGGAAGCAGCTCTGGTTGCTTGATGGAATACCTTCTAATAGGTGATGGATGAAGGAGTCAAAGATGGTGGGTCTCTCAGAGCTGAAGGAATAGCCTCCTTCCCTTTTTTCCCTACCTGTGAGCTTCTCAAGATATTTGACTGTTCTCTTAAAGATCAAATGTTGTCAAAAGCCTTAATCTGAAAAGGCACTTTGTGAATTGTTATTTCGGACTCTTGGTTTCCTGTTTCTTTCTTTCCAAAACATCAAATGCGTTCCTAGTACTCATGTGGGTCTATTATATGATAGATAGTACAAAGGTAGATTTTAAGTACATAAGTCTCTTTTCATTGAGGAATAAAAGCTCACCATGTGCTTATAAGACAAAGTTTGTGTATTAAACTATCAGAACTACAAAGCCTCTCTCATCCAGATTCCAACTCTTTCTGTGCAGGCTCTATTGGCAAAGGAAGCTGCTATCAAAATCTCTACAAATCGTCTTTTGATAACATGGCTGTTTACCTCCAAAAGAAACAGGAGAGAATTCTGCAGCATAAGTCTAAGAGAAAGGAACCACAGCATGAATCAGATAGACAGACAAAGAAGATTAGAACAGAAGCACCATCATTATGATGCTCAGGATTACATTGCAATGTGATTGTGATTGCAATGTACTGGAAAAAGTCAATCTCTGAACTTAATCTCTTCATGGGGCCTGGTGGATAATAAGTTGGTACTTGTCGCATATGTACACTTGGCAATTAGCATGCTGCTTATCTATCTTGTCAAAGATAATTTTGTCCTGTTTAGCTTATCTAGCTACATGTTCCAGTTGTCAGCTGAGATGTTGTTCAGCCATGCCATAATGATGCATGGCTAGGAACAGGGCAACTGAGGAAGCTCCTTATCCAAATCCAGCTGATCAGTCTCTCGAGGTTGTGCTTTCTTATGTGTGCCATACAATCAGCATCAAGTCTTGGTCTCCTAAAGGGCAAATTGCATCCAACAGCAGCTAACTCACGCCCAACATTTCCAGCCCAGAGATGAAGTTGAGAGCAGTATGAAATGGCACCACCACAAGTGACTGAAGTAAAGGCCTGGCCTGTTGGCTTTTCACCATTTCAGAATGGCTTTTCTGGTAAATCTAGTAGCTTAGGACATACACGACCATAGCCAAAATATCCTTAGATAACTCTGCCTAAAGGTATATCTTTCAAATTCACCATCCATGGGGTGTTGCACTGAAATGTGGAGCAAATCATAAATGTGATGGGCCTGGATAAAAACGGCTGTCTGTGTTACTTCTCTGATGCATTTAAAGAAGCAATCATTGTATTGAAGGTGTATCCTTGTACATATGAGTCAAATGATCTACTGGACCAGTAATGGAATTATGGCCCCACAGCAATGGGACAATCATTACTTTGTAGTATGATTTAGAGTATAACCAGCCTGGTTTAGCATCTTTATTTTTTAATACAAAGCTAAGGATTTTATGTTGTATACTCTGCTTTAGAACTTGAACCAGCACTGAAAATGTCAGTAAATAAGCAATAAAATATGTCAGCCAACTTATTTCACTGAGAGGACTTTGCCTACATGTGGTAGCAACTGGCAGGCACTTGAGCAAGATCTTATCTTCTCTGGCTTGCCAACCAAGCTGTTTAAAGGTATTTGAAATGAAATTCTGTAAGGCTTAGATGGTTATGGGTAGTGACCTCACCTACCATTTGCTTTTTATTTTTTTATCTACGGTGGAGAGCTGTTTACACTGAATGTAAAAAATGGTATGCAGTGTAAATCATGCAAAAGAGAAAGAAAAAAATCCTACCCACCCTATCTTCTCGGTTACGGGTTTTGATGAGGACACCACTGGCAGTGTTTAACAGGCACAGTCTTCATCCACATGGGCTAGGATCTATGCGTGCAAAGGATCTGCTTCTTTTTCTTCAATAATAATTCCTTCCCTCTCCACTCCCTAAATGCTTCTAAACATAAGAAGCTGATTTTGAAACTGAGGGGGAACTTTCAAAAGCAGCTGGTCATGTTTGAAAGAAAAAAGTCACACCTAAAACACATTAGTGGGATTGCCAAAAAACTTAAGTGGCTGTTTGGACCCAGCCACAGGCTTGTTTGCAACATAATACACTGGAAAGGGAAGGGAAATCTGCTTCTCTTCAGCAGAGCAGAGGTTCAGCAAACTGATGCCATATTGCATCAGTTTGCCATTTATGAACTGGCAGCAAAATGGGTCAGGGTAGTGATTCAGTATGTTTATAGCAAATTCGAACAAATGTTGAAACCTGTCAACAGCTAGCATGGGCATTTTCTTGAGTCCTAAAGCACATTGCACACATTTTGTACCCAGTTCACTTAAGCAAACGGCATCAGTTCTCCAGCTTCCTCACAATCAGCTAAGTTTGTCATAAAAAACAAAGGGAATGCTCAGGTTACACAGCATCTTTAAACTGTGGGGAGGAGTAGAGTGGGAGGGCATAAAATGTCAATATGAGCTTTGAAGTCCAGCACAAAGATTAGTCATCTGTTTTAAGGAGGAGTGCTTTGGTTGCTTAGTAAGTGGCCAGCATGTTGCATTTTATGCACAAACTGCAGGGGTTCATGGAGGTAATATCTACTACCCACTAGCCTTGTAGCTACCAAACCATAATAAATTGCAGCGAGGTGCTAATAACGGAAGATCCTAAGAACTGTGACACTAACTACGAGTAGGAGTACTGATACTCATCTCTCAGTAAGATCTCCTCCCTATGCACGTGGCTCTCCACTTGGCAAACTGCTATTGAAATAGAGGGCAGTTTTTATAAGCAGTTAGTGATACTGCAAAGGAGCCTGCTGTTGAAAGGGAAGTTGTGGGAAGAGGGGTAGATATTCTGCAAATGCAAACAGCTCAAAGTGGTGAGATTTGGGTGCCTGAAGTACAGCTACAAACAGATTGGGCTATAGTACACCGGCTGCTTTTTTGTGATCTTGGCTGCCACATTCCAAAGCTTCAATAGACTATAATTGAGTGATGAGAATTTTCCATAGGTTGGTGAACTGGAACCAAATTTTCTAGGGTTGGAACATTCTTTGATGTGATGGGGAGGACAACAGTGGACCAGGCAGATCATTTTCTTTCCCTGCCAGCTTTAGTGAGGACAAAAGGCTGGTGAGAATTTAGTATGCTCTGATGCTTCCAGATCTTACTCCCCAGGCTAAGCAACACTTAGTCTTTACCTCAAAGCAGGGCAAGTGAACTCTTCAATACATGCAACAGACTGTCCTAGCAGAGGATTGGTTTACCGGTTATCCATTCCCATCATGCCTTAATGTGTATTGTGTAATGTGGGAAGAAGCTCAGGCCTGGGGGCAAATCTGGCTCTCCAGGGTTTCCCAGAAAGCCACAAATTTCACCTCTCTTGACCATTGCTGGTAGGGTGATTTCCTGTCATTGTGGAGTTGGTCCCCCATTATGAATAGCTGAAATGCCTTTCCGAAGAGTTGGTGGTAGTGAGAGCTTTAAGCTAAAACATGTAGGCATTCTCCATAATTTTGGGTGTAGCCCCCACCCATTGAAATCTTATTGGGAATGGAATTAGGCCCTTGAATTTCAAGAGGTTCAATGCTAGCGGTGTGCATGCAGGAATCACTTGGGTGAAGGGTCACAGAAGGGAGATGATATCTTTCCAGTTTACAAGTAGTTCGTATTCATCCTGATCAGTGCTTAACCAGGAAGTGCCGCTATTGCATCAAAAGAAATATATGCAATTCACATTCTCTATGTAGCATTTTAATAATATTAATGAAAGGGAATTACTACCATCTGTTCAGCATGCCATTGTATCCCATTGATACATTATTCATTTTTATGATTTTCTTTACAATGTATGCTTAGAACTGCTGATGTACAAGGAGAGATAAAACTGCCTTTTATTAATAATCTGAAATCTGGTAGTCTGGGTCCCTATTCTGAACATTCTTGAGCATGAAATGAATAACTCGTTGAATGCCTGTCCTTATGACCATGTGATCATCTTACTAATATTATTTTACATTTCTATCCTGCTTCCCCCCCCGCCATGAAGAGCCAAAGGCAGCTTGCATAGCTCTCCTGCCCTCCATTTTATGCACCCTTTGAGAGGGAATGATTGGCCCAAAGGGGTCACCCAGTGAGCTTCATAGCTGAGCGGGGACCCAGATTTTTTCAGTCTTAGCTCACTGCTTTACCTACTACACTACTTTGTATGTTCAGATACTCTGGCACCCCATCCTGAGTACCATTGAACAGGGCCGTCTTAACAGCATTATGGGCCCCGGGCAAAGCGGTGTCCTGGGGCCCCTACGACAACGACAACTACTGTTAATTTTGGAAGTTTTCCCATTTTCCAAGGGTTAACATACACAGATTAGTATGGGGCCCACAGGCAAGTGCCCATCGGGCCCTTGCATTAAGACGGCCCTGCCATCAAAGCCAATGCAGAATCTTTTCATTCATACGAAATTTAATAAATAAAACAGTGACTTGAAGCCAAAGGTGTCCTTGGCAAGACAGACACCCCCCTCCTCCTGTTTTCGCTGCCCACTGCAGATCTCTGTGCCCCACTGTGTTCCAAAGGGTCCCTTGACACTCAGGAGCAAGCAGGAAGAGCTAGAAAAGCCCCCTTGCATGAGCAACGTTCCTCTTCTCTGAATGCAACTGAGTGATTTGGTAAGCATAATACCATCTCATTTCAATAACTTCTTGACAAGGTATTAGCAACTTGGTCCTTTGCACATCAAATCGGACATTAGTGACTCTGAAATACTATGGAAGGCTTTTTTCGCAATATGGTGCTAGAAGCAAGTTGCTTTTTTCTGTGCTTTGGGCAAAACCAGCACATAGAATGCATAGTACTGTAATGAAATATTGGAGTGGCCCAATTTCCCTCGTTACGTTATTTCTTCATTGATTTAGCGGAAACTCCTGCGGGCGCACTGATCTAGATATGACCCAGTTATCACTTTGTGCACAGCTTATTTGCAGTCTGAATGCTCAGTACAATTGGAGTAATTCTCCCCTTTCAACTATTCCTTGCTTTGCTTTAATGAGCCTTCACATTACAATTTAAAAAGTCTATTAAAGATTTAATCTGCGACCATATTTGGCATAGCCAGCATGTGCATTGTGTCTCGCACTTTCTCTGATGGTTGCTATTTGCATTCCAGCTATTACTTCCTCATTATCTGCACTTTGCTCAGTTACACACCCAGATCATGTATGGCAAACATGATCCTTTGTTGGAAAGAATAAAGGAGTATATTCACTATTTATTTATTAAAGATTTCAGTTTTACAAAAGGCAGAATGTCTTCTTTCTCTTTTTAGGAGTTCCAAAACACAACACCTGAAATCAGCCTAGATAGTAAACTATCCTTCAATATGAAACAATGCCTTTTGACTAGAAATAGTAATAAATATGTTTCATTCTCTGCTAAGAATCATGTTGCATCTCAGCTATTTTATCTATAAAACAAGGAACTATCTGAAGTTTGTTTTATTCAAAACGTTTCTACATTGCCCTTCATCAGATCAAATTCTGGTGAATTTCCTCCGTTGGGTTGAATACTACCATGAGATTAAACAGTCAATTAAATACTGCTATGCTTTAAAGTAAGTAAATGATTATGGGCAGCTTACTGCTCATCAGTGCCAGCCCACAATATTTAACTGTCTGAAGCAGAGCAGCAAATATTCCCACCCCACAAGGGCAATTATTTTGGCACTTGAAATAAAAGACAAATACACAAATCCAGAAGCACATCTCCACCTTTCCACAGCAGAATACAACAACAATACCCGAAATACCCAGCTGCTGTCCTTCCAAGACACCCAAACCTGGCTGCCTGAAGCAGCTGTCTCAATTTGCATCATGGCAGAGCCTTCCTACTGATTTTGCTCCAATATTTTAGTGCATTGTCTTTTGCTAGATAAATTAACACAACATGCTTCATGTAGAGAACAGCCTGCAACAGAGCGTAGTGGGGTTAGTGTTTAGGGTGCTCAAGTAGTGGTCTTCAGTGTGAGGATAAGTAGGTTACAAATAAACAAGAGTGCCCTTATTTTCATCGGTTAAAGAGGATTTTACAACAGCACTTGCGATTACAATGGGGGCATTAGGCAGGCTGTGAAGAATGGCGCTTTTCTAACAATCTGCCGAAAATGAAGTGCTGTGCAAGTATGATAATCTGTTAAGAAAAGCAACCTGAAGGAAGACCTCAAATTGCTCATGAGTCACAGTTGCTTATTTATCAGGCTACATACTGCTTGCTAATAACGGAGCATGTGCATTATTATGCTGTTTTCATTATGTCCAATAGGTGTCTCTGCTGTGATTTGTTTCCATGCAAGAACAAAAAACAAAACAAAACAAAAAACCCAACACAAAAAACAAAAAAGAACAGAATGAAAACAAAGACATTTATACAGATGCAGTAGAATTGCTTTTGTTTGTTATTTATATTCTTTGTCACTGTTGCAGCTGCCTTTTCCTAGGAATAGCTTGGAACTGTGCAGAGTAGATTATGGCGCACTGGCCA